CTCCTGCCACTGCCCCAGCCCACCCCACCCCACCCCGATTCCTTTCCACCTAACTGGCCTTCATGCTAATCCTTAAATAGGCCAAGGTTATTCCTGTGTTTTAACTTCCATGTACACTGCCTAGAATACTCTTGCCCGCATTTTTTTAATGGTGTTTTTGCCTCTTTGCATCATTTAGATGTTAAATTAGATACTGATTTTACTGATTAAGTCCCTCCACCTCCTTTTCCACCTTCATTACTCTTATCCCCTAACCCAATTTATATGTTTCTCCAGTGTGAATTTATTTTGTCACTTCTTTGTTATCTGTTTTCCCCACTGGAAGGGCACAGACCTTGACTTGTTTGTCACTATATCCCTCAGAACTTGTCATGGCACCTCAGAGCAGGTGTGCAATAAGTGTTCATGATAGGAGCGGACTAAGGAACGAATGAATGGTCAGGGTGAGTTTCAGGACCTCGGCCGTTTGAATGAGACTGAGCCTGCCACTGCTCTCTCTGCATCAGTCTGGGCAGAATTGGGTTGCGGGCAGGCTCACAGTGAGAAGCTGGGGGAGGCTGAGGTGGACGCCACCTGCCCCTGGGCCTCTGATGTTCCTCCTGCCAGGTAAAATCCTGCCTGCGTCCAAGGCCCAGCTCCATTTCCACCTCCCCCAGGAGCCTTGCAGGGTCCTCGAGCCCACTTCCTGGGTGTTCTCACACCCCACCGCTGCAGCCTCTTTCCACAGCACCGGCCTGATTGCTCCCTGCATCATTCTCCTTGTTTACTCCCATCTCTCCCATGAGATTGAAAGCACATCAAGGGCAGACACCGTGATAGAGCCTCTTTGTGTTCAGTCCCTGTGCATGGACGGAGTGGGCAGGGTCGGGCCTGGTCACAGTCATGGTCACTGATGCTCTTGGCCCCTGTGAAGCAGCGCACCCCCTGGCAGTAAGCAGGGCAGGCACAAGGGGCACAGTTTCTCTGGAGCACCATTGAGGGCACATTTGGAAAGCCAGACAAGCTTTGAATAAAGACAGAATTGTTTGGTGACACATGCTCATTCATGTCCTACGTGGTCTTTTCCCTTTTCATTCACCCTCTGTTTACTGAGTTCTCGCTCACTGCCAGCTGCTGTGATGGCCACTAGGGGTGAGGGGAAGACAGAGAACTGGATGGTTTGGGTTCAGAATCAGATCTGTGCCTCCTGTGGGACCAGGCCAGGAGGAGTGACCCACAATTCTTCTTTCCTTTGCCTTCACTCTGTTCTAAATTCCCATCATCCCGACATGTCCAACTGGGAGCCCAGGCTTCAGCTGGCTTAAAGAGAATGCTGTGCTTGCAAATAGCAAGATATTCCAAAGCCTGAAAAATTCCTTTATCCCTGTTCTTAAGTGAAGACCCAGCTCCACCATATCTGTTCTGGTTCAGCAACTTGAGGTGTGACATTGGAGTGACTCAGCGGGCATCACCCAGACTCCCAGGGCCACCAGCATGAGCTGCCTAGGTGGGCAGGCTTGGCTGAGACTGTCTCCCCCACCAGTCTGAGGTCTGTGGGTTAGACTTCTTGGTTAGAGAGCTTTAGACGGGGAGCCTGGGCAGGGCAGGTCCCAGGGGAAGACAGGAGTGTCTGTGTGGCCAGCCGGGCGTCAAGGGCCACCGGTCACCAGCAAGGGTGGAGCTACCTGGCATCCAGGCAGCTGTTTATGTCATTTTTTTCATACAGATAGTTCTACTTTCTGCTTATTTGCACATATCACAAGGATCGCTAAATGTTGTTATTTAGTCTGCATAGCCCCTATTTTAAGCAATACTCCCGGTGCCATACTGTAGCATATTGGACATAACGAATAGCTCTGTGGTCATCGTCTTTTATGTACAAACCTGTCATTTTTCTGTTGAATTATTTCCTTGCAACACATTCCCAGAAGTGGAATTACCATGGAGAGAGAGAGACGAGCATTTTAATAGCACTGGAGCTGTATTGCCCAATTTCTTCCCTAAAAGGCTGTGCTAATTTACAGGGCCACTGGCGGTGTGTTTAAGCTGGCCTTACCATACCCTGGGCAGCTGGAATGGTATCATTTGGTTAATGGGTGCTAATTTAGTGGCGTGAAGTGGCACAGCAGGCTCCTCTAATTATGTTTCCCTGACTACAGCCGGGATGAGGTGTTGGAGGTGCTGGTCTCCTCCTGGGAGTTCGCCCTTGGGGATGGCCTCCCTGCCTGCAGCACTGGGTCTCAGTCTGTCCCTCTCCACCTCTCTGCCTCTTGCTGTGTGCTGTCCTCGCTCTTTCTCTAAGCCTGTCCGTCATGGTCTTTCAGCTTCTGATTCCTGACTTTCTCTGGTTTCTGACTGGGCAGGCATGTGGCTGCTTTGTGGCAGGCCTAGACAGGCCCGAACAAGCTGCTGGCTAGACCCGGACACTGGCACTGATCTCTAAGGCCTCTCTCCCCCACTGAACTCATACGGGGCCCTTTCTTCCACCAGGAACTCTTCAGAACCCCTTTTCATCTCTTCGTGGCCTCATCAGAGCTCATCGAGAAATGGCTGGGAGTGACCAAGCTGTCCTTCAGGGACCCCTCCAATGGAGTGTTCCAGGCTTCCCACCCTTCGAACAGATGACCCTGCATATCCTGGCACTTGGGGATGTGGGGTTTCCAAAATCCAGATGTGTGGAGAGCAGAGGGGCCTGCAGCCGTGACAGCAGCTCAGCCTCTCTTCCTGCTCCAGTGAACCCCTTCCCAAGGTGGCAGAAGGAGCTCGCCTCTCAGGCGGGAAACCCACTTGTCCCAGGTGGACAGGGTGCCACCAGCACTCCATGGTGTGGCAGGGACAGAGCAGGGCTGGCACACTGCCCACTTCCAATGGCATTGAAGGTTCTTGGGCACTTGGGAAGGTTTCAGAAAGGCAGCTGAAGTGGAAGGAAGTCTGCACAGATGCACCTGGGGAGCCCTGTGCTGGCAAATTGCTGACTCCAGGCACTGGACCTGCAGCTGCTCGTCACCGAGGCAGACGGTCCCCGCCGTCACATCTCAGACTGTGTGGACAGTCCCAGCCAGATGGAAACTCAGACATAAACTTCTAGGCTCTCATTTTATTTATACCATTTTTAACATTCGGCTCTTTTAAAAATTATTATAAAGTAGTGCATGCCTATTCTGAAATACTTGGAAAATACAGAAAACAAGAAGAAACTATAACCCTGTAAATTCACCCAAGATGACTGCTGTTATATCTCCATCTCAACTTTTTCCCTGTGGTGATGTGTATTTTTTTTATCATTGAGATCATCCACTATATGTCATTTGTATCTGCTTTATTCACTTTAAATTAAATTATAAGCATTTCTAACATAGTAAATGTTCTTTATAAACACTTCTAATGACTGCCTGAGAGTGTTCTGAGTGGATACACCATAAATGCTTACTGTTACCTAAATATTTCCAGTTCTTCATGAGCATAAAAACATCTTTTAAATATAAATCTTTGTCCACAATTTGGTCTTCCCTTTAGTTACATTCCTACTCCTGGGGTATAAACATGTTTTAGGACTTTGCACATCTGTTTCTATTTTGCTTTCCAGAGGTTGAACTAATGGATGCCCACCTTACCACACACAACTACACCAAGAAGCACCATTAAAAACATCTACTGACTTGAAAGGCAATATGACTATTGATTCCTTTTACTAGGTAAACAGACTTGGTGAGGAAACAGGACATGCGTAGGTCGCTGCAGGAGTGTGTAACCTCATTTCATTCTCACCGCAGCCTACGGTAGTCGTGCGGGAGCTAAAGCGCATGGATGAGGTCACTTCCCAGGCCCCCCCTCAGCTCATCAGACGTGGAGCCTGAGTGTGATCCCACACGGTTGGACCCCAGGGCCCGTGTACTTCACCTCTGTCCTATAGCTGCTGTTGCCCCGTAGATGCTGAAAGGTGGTTTGGGGCCAAAAGGTGAAGGAACTTGGAGTTTGGATTTACCCTGTGGGCATAAGGGCGCATTAATAGGTTCTTAAGCATCGAGGCTGTTGTACAAAGAGGTTTCTAGTGGACTGGCCGGGGGAGGCTGGAGACAGGAAGGCCGGTTGGGGAGATGCGACGTGCAGATAATGTGAACAACAAAGAGGCTGCCCGGAGGCGCGTGGGCTGCGGGCTGCAGGCCATGGGCACTCAGGAACATTAGGGACCCGGGGAGACCTCCTGCTGGGCCCTTTTCATTTGGCAAGGGCCATTTTTATCCGCTACACGTCAGGCAAAACCTGTGCCAGCCACCAAAGACTCCACCTCAAGTCTAGCAAATAAGAGAGAGGACGGTATGGATTACGTTATATTTAAAGCAAGCCCACACAATGCCTATAATTTTTTATTCTGACTCCATAATTATAGCTCAAGACCAGCCAGATCATAGTTATCCCCACACCGACCTGCTGTTGGGACACATGGAATTAAAGGCCTTGCTGCTCAAGATTCTATTTCGGATGCCGAGCACTGGCAGGTAACGTGCCTTTCGCGAGGCCCGGCCTGTTGGAGCCCCTCCTGGGGCAGCCTGCATAAAGGGAAGTCGGCCCCAGGCCCTCGGGAGACCACTGATGCTTGGGAACTAGGGGATGCGTCAGCTGCGCCCTGCAGAGCCGGAGGCCTGAGCCGGGAGTCCAGAGCAGAGGGAAGGGCCGTCCCTGGAGCAGGCCCGCCTCACCCAGTCAGGTCCACACGGCCTCAGAGCCTCTGCACTCTCCCCAGCTAACTAATGGGTCCCCGGGTCAGGTGAGCCAAGCCCGGGCTGTTGGGCACAGTTGTCACAGACAGGCTGGCATTGCCCAAATACAGAAAAGGAGCCTGAAGGAGCGAGGCTTATACACCCGGCCCCTGTGACAACCAGGCCTGGACCAATAGGCACCCCTCCCAGTGGGCTGCACCCTTCCCTGTCCTGGGACCCACCAGAGAACACCACCTCTCAACCCCATGAAGACACCCCTAACAGCAAGAGTGGGATTGGGTCCTGCTCCCAGACCTGGAATGCCACAGCTGCTGCCTCCACGTGGCCCTCCCGCCACCAGTCCTGCCTCCCGGTAGCCCTGGGGGGACTGGGAGGAGCTAGACCAGCTCCTATTTATCAAACTGCAGGAGACCTTGTGCACACATCATCTCATTTACTCACATCACCCCTGCCGAGTCCGTGTGACTACTGTCATCATGATTTCCACTTTAGCATGAGCAAATGGAGCTCAGAGAGGTCAAGCGTGGGGCTCAAGGCCACACAGCTTGTCCAAAAGTCCCCAAAGCACACAGCTCATTCACAGACAGCTGGCCTGAACCCACCAGTCCCACTCTCAGCTGCTGCTTGGTGGTCCCTTGCCCCTGGGCAACTTGCTAAGCACTTGTGCCTAAGAAAACCCAATCCTGGTGCACCTCCTGCTGCACACAGCTCTCCTGGCCACAGCCGAGCCCCAGGACAAGCCAGCCAGCGCCCTGTGAAGACCCTTATTCTTACGTCCCCACAAAGAATGGATGGTTCCCTCCCCAGCCTCTGATATGTCTTACAGTTCTATTTTAACATTTAAGACATCACCACTCACATGACTGTCCTACTGGACTTCTCAGGTTGGAGCCTGTGTTCTGTCTCTGTTACTAGTTTGACACCCAGCACATAGTAGGTGCTTATTGTTTGTTGCAGGAAAAAAGGAGAATCTGAAAAACTCATATACATCCTTCAAAACTCTACTTAGAGTAGATCCTGGGAAGCCTTTCCTGATTGGCACAGACTGACTTAACCCTGCCCTGCCCTGTACAGTCTGGAGGAGGTGTCACACCCTCCAGGGTAGGGCCAGGACCTGCTTCTTCCCTGTGACCCCATCTCTCAGCAAAGACCAGGCACCCATCCACAGCCACTCAGAGCAGAAATGAATTGCTCTCTGCTCAGAGACCCAGAAGAACTGCACCGTGACCTAACCCATCAGCTGCCCATGTCACCAACTGAAACCACCATGGACTGGCATGCAGGGTGTTTGCCGAGGAAGGGAACCCTGAAATAAATCCTAACTTTAAAAAAGAAACACACACAACAGGTATTCTATTTATATGAAAATCAGCTCCGTTTTTAGATATCTGTCCCCCTGCCTCACCTCCCCAAGGTGGGCCCAACCCCCATCCCACGGGTCCCCTCCACACCCCACCCAGTAATCATGGCCCTACCTGCCCCTGTCCCCTCCCCTGTTTGCTCTCTGGGGTTTCCCTCGATTGCAGGGTATGAGCTTCCAGACACCCCAGAGGCCTGTCTCATGCCTGGCCCCAGACTCCCTCCCTCTCAGACCTGCCCTTCTATAATCCCAGAGTTCCCAAAAAACAGGCCAGAGCCAGGGCCCCTGGGCCCAGGTCAGGGAGGGGCAGGACAGGAAGTTAGCCTGTGACTGGGCCGCCCGTTACCTGAGTCAGAGCAGGGCAGCTTCACGCTGGGTGCCCAGGAGCCAGGCCCTGCTCCTCCTGGGGCTCTGGCAACCCAGCAGGACCCCACTCCCCAGTTCAGACAACAGTCGGGGTCCACTTGGCACAGTGAAGAGAACGGGGCTTTGGAGTCAGGCTCACAGTCCTAGTCCTGGCCCCACTGGGGGCCCATCTGCTGGCACATTTAGACAACTCACCTACCTCCCCAACCTCTCCCTGGCCTCAGACCCCTTCCCAGCTAGACAGAGACACAGGCGCTGTGCTGTCCCCTGAGAGGCGGCCATGGGCGGGGAAGGCCCAGGGCCAGCCTCTCTGGCCGTGGGCTGTACGGGAAACCCCACAGGGTAAGGAATTCCATTGCGGAGCAGCAGCTGATGTTTTCTCAGTGCTTATCAAGTGTCAAGCTCCAGGCAACCCAGCCCTGGTCTGTAGGCCCCTTCTCTAATCCCAGGCTCACCCTCACCGGCTCCATCAGCTCCCTGTCCCAGAGACCCTTGGGGCCTAGAGGAGCAACTCGCTCTCTGGCAAGGTTTCTGCTTGTCACAGAGGCCAGCTGGGGCAGGGGGACCAGGGGACCCTCCACATCCAGCAGCTCCCTCCAGCCTGAAACCAGGTTCTGGGAAGAGACCGGGGTAAGCCCTGGGCAGGGGCTGGGCCCCAACGCCCTGGGAAACTTGTGAGCCTCCCTCACAGCTCAGCACTTAGGCAGGCACCCAGCTAACCACAGCTGCGGTTTGCAGAGAGTCAGGCCTCCCACGGCAGGGACAGTAAACTGAGAAGCGCTGTAGCTATAAATGTAGAGTGGCGAACCACGGGACACTGCCGCAGCCCCACGGGGCCTGCCGCCCAGCCGCCCTGCAAGCTGCAGGGCCCCGGCCAAGCCTCCAAACAGCCCTGCCTGCTGGGTCTCCCAGCTCTGGGATCTGAGCAGGGCCTCTGGGGGCCCCCCATGGAGGTCCCAGGCACAGCCTAAGGCAGGATAGTACACAGCACTTTCTACTGGTCTCGCTTCCCAGATGTTTCTTGTTTTATGTTGACCTACCCAATAATCTTTCTGGAGCTCAGTGCTTCTAAAGGCCTTATTCCTGCCCTGGGTGGCTCTATATTATAGTTTCAGACCCTCCTGAGGCTACCTTGGGCACAGTCAGGAGGATCTTGGGGTGGACCTGGGGCTCGCATGGTTCTGACAGGCATCCCCATAGGTACTGCCAAAAAGGAGACTCCAGGGGGTGCACCGACGGCTGATGAAATAAGGGCAGCCCTTCACAGAGTACCCAATGTATGCCCAGCCCAGAGCTCTCAGAACCTGGGAAGGGTTACATTTCCCAGGGGTGAGGGTCCAGAGCTCACCTGTGCTTTGGGTCTCCCCCACCACTCCCAGTTCAGGCCTGGATGGGAGTGCAGTGGGAGGTGGGGAGCAGGGGCCCATCTGCAAGGGTCTGGGGAAACAGAGGCAGGGGACAAGGCCCATCATTCTCTGACCTCTCCAAGCCTGCCAAGGGAAGGTCTCTCCTCCAACATGCTACTCCACTGAACAGACTGTCCCCTATCACGGGCCCCTCCCATCAGACTGGGGAACTGGCCAGGAAAGATAAGATCACCCTTAGCTTGTGTCACCTGCTCTGCAGGAGAGCTCAGAGATGAGCCCTTGGGTCTCTGCAGAGGCCCCACACAGTGGGACTATTCTGAGCAATGTCTCATCAATATCTCTTGGCTAGAGCCCCCCAGGGAGCAGGATGGGGGTGGATGCCTAGGAAGCACCATCAGCCAAGGCAGAGGCCCTCTCAGGACACGGAGGAGGAGCTCTGGGCTGGGTGATGGGGAACAAGGGGCCTCCAGACATCACTGCAGGCCCCAGGGTCACCCTGCCGGGGAAGTCACTGGGGCCTGGCACCCTGCTGGCAGCCCATTCCCCACCCACGTGAGTCAGGCAGTTTCAC